AGATAAACAAGAGAATCACGCTAGCTTGGAAAAAATATTGGACTCACAAAGAAATTACGATAATATGCATAAAAGAAATTTAGATTATGATATTGCCCGTTCAATTCTAATATTACCCGTAAGATATAGCAATACATTGTAGATGCATGGCCCGTACATAATTGATTAAACTCAAATAATCTTTATTTTGTAGGCAACAAATGACACCTGACATTATCACATGATAAAAACTCTAGTACTCATTCGTAAAGCAGATTCTCCTGACAAGAATGAGTAACAAACTCTAGGGGGTTGCCAATAAAATATCACATATCAAGATAATCTGCACCAGCTAAACGAGTCACTATCATGGATTTTTGTCATCCAAGTACGCCGAAGCTGTATAATAATAACCTTTAAAGTTTTTGTTTTACCTCGTGAATGGCAAATTTTGAATATCAACCTGAATCTTATCATAGAAGCGTATACATTAAAGGGGTATTAAATGAATTTGTGACCAAATAAAGACGACTGCCAAGAACTGCCAGTTTACTTTTATTCCTCGTATTCTTCTAAACATATTTCAAATTTTCATGAATATACTGTCACGCGTGGAGAATGTTAATTACTTGAAACTTCTTTATTAAAACGCTCTGGGGCCCAGATTGTAAAGTGACCCAATCGCACGTTTTTGCACGATAAAGTTCTTTTTTTTTTCGTTTATGCTTTGCTATCGCACGGACTTTCTCTAACCCAATATTAATTTCACAAGGATAATTTTTAATGCATCCCTTACTATAATATTTAGGGTTGACATTGTAGTTTTATGAAGTTTCCTATTATGAAAAGAATTCCGTTGTTTGCTAACAAACAAAAAGGAGTTTTGAATTGGTAGGCGAGAGATTACAGAAGTGACGCCACGTGAACGTCGTACAGCAACAACGACGCCGCGGCGGTTAACGGTGAAAATGCAAAGAAAAGTGTTCAGCTCCGTTGCGCCGCAGCGTGCGCCTGCGCCCACTCGTTTGCTTTAATCGTATTGATATTAATGAAATCTTAATTTCAAAAGCGACGTCGTAATTATGTGTGTATAACTGACATCGCTGTTCTTTCAACATTCAATTGCGACATAACATGAACAACATATGAAATGTTAGCTTCGCATAATTGCTGTTGACTTCGAGCAATATGCGCATATTTTTATTGGAATCCTTTCTATGCATTCCTCTAATTGAAATTAGTTGTAATTTTGGTGGACGCACGAAGGCAATATGTTACTCTAATTCAGATACTAGTTGGTAAATGAGTGTAGCTACTGTTACTATTGCAAGGATCGCACATCACAGTCCATCAGTGGCATCTTTCAAACACAAATTAAAAGAGCACTACCTGTCGAACGCGTTAGATAGCTAATATGTAACATATATTATAAACTAATAATTTGTTTAGATTATAATAATAATAAATAATAAAGTTTACGTAGGTGTGTATTTGTGTTATATGTATATATATTTTTTTATATATACTCACATTTAAATTTAAATTTTATTGTACAGTAATTAGTCCCGCAGACTTCATTTTTCACCTAGGCTAGGGTTGGCTGGAAGAGATCTCTTCTAGAGATAAGCTCATCTTTGTATATGTCCTTTATAACTTGTGTATCATGTAACTTTTCTTTGTGCAATAAAGAGTTATTATTATTATCATAAATTTCAAAAGATTCTTTAAGATGTAGGTTGGCACATAGTTAAATACGCGGCTGGTTGGCTGGCTGGCTCTTTTTACAAGCTTTGTTCGTCTAATTTGTGACTTATTCGCGGGTCATCACGTCACTTCAAGCGTCCTTCGCCGGCGACGAACCGGAGCGGGGACGGAACGGCGGCGAAGCGAGCATAGAGGCACAAAGTCAGGAATCCAATTTCAAGCGCGAAGTTCCCGTCTGTAATCGGTACCTATTCAATGTGCGAGCAGAGGTTTTATTGTCTTGTGTCTTCGATGGAAACATTCCATCGCGGCAAATTGGTCAAGTAAAGTAAAATAGTCTATCTTGAGTAGTCAATCAGTGAAATCAAAACGTCCTCTATCTGTGTTGCCTCGTGTAATCGCCGACCTTTCAAAAGGCATATTAAACAAACTTTAATAAAATTTTGTCATGGTCAAATGGAGTCAAAAATATTGACTAATTAATTATTGGTAATGTTTTTCTCCATTTTTGCTTATATTGAATATTTAGACAATTAAATGTATTTACAAAAATATCCAGTTCATGCCTTGAAATGCAACAATAGTGTCCTGAGCAGGAGCGGCTGGTGGGTGGGCGGACGCGGGGGTGGGGGCTAGTAGCCAATATTATACGGCCGTAGTTAGCGCGCACTGATATTAAGAATTCCACAGAGCACAGAGCAGTTACCCGTCCAGATGCTTATTTAGCTGTTAACTGTTTTCTATTGTAATTTATTTCTTAAGTTTATCGATCAATTTGCTATACAGAATAACGAAGAAAGAGATTCTATTAAACATTGAAATATATTGTTGGGGGTCTACGGGGACACTAGAGACTGCCAAAGCTATATTCTAATATTATATACTACGTTCGAAAATGATTTAGGCATGTTAGCTGCATCGTGCACAATTGCATTGATTTAAATAGAAATGCAGAGTGGGACGCGTTGTGCTATGACAAAATGTAGGACCTAGAAAAAAACGAAGGTTTCTGTTCGAGAACGTGCTCTGGATTCTGAGATTGGAGCGAACGGCACAAAGTTGGTAATTGAAAAATCTTTCCGGTCTCCAGCACACCGCCCCCCGCAGCCCGCTGACTCGCCCCGCGCCCTCGCCGCAGCGAAATTAAACTTTAACTATAATTACACGCGACCGGAACACTCCGCCGAGGAATTCTTTGTCTCGGAAGATAATGAATTGCAACTGATTACATTTCCAATAAATAATAAATGCATTTTCCGTTATTGTCGTGTAGAACGAACACACAATTGTAAACCTAGTTTATTTGACGTCAAAGTAATACAGGTAAAACGTAAATACAGACTACGTACGTCAACATTTTATTTCTGCTTATGGAAGTGAATAATTGAACGCGAGATTGGAGTCGACTTGCGTCATCATCGAACAACGCGTTCAATGCTCTCGTGAGAGAAGAAGAAGAGTTCTCATTATGAAAACATTACAAGGCAAAGCTAGGTTTCAAAGTACCGCTGTCATACCAGACCGTTGTCCGGCCAGTGGAAGGTGGGTGAGTTATGTCGCGGAGATGCCTTCTCCCCATACCCGGTGGAGGAGGGTCGACAAGGGGAGGGTCGGCGGCCATTCGTCAGCGCAGAAATGTTTTCATTTTTATTTCATAAATAAAGAGTGTTATTTCGCTCTCGCCGTAACGAGCCCGCTGCCCGCCACGGCGCTTTCTCTTCCACACACTATGGTAGTATTTATATCGAGTAAGCTAACGGGTTTTAAGACACGGATTGCCAATTGATACGATAATTATTCGCATTGCCTAATAGTAGAGTCGACGGGACACGGCCTGGTCTTAGGGCCGCGCGCGGTTTACGACTGTATGGAAAGCACCCCAATGAATATACGTCACTCCTGCCTCCCCCACACGTCATTAGCTAGATACAAGAAATATTGCCATTCCACAGGCAAATAAATCGTTACTCGACTGTATTTTCTGTATATCTGAGAACCTTCACTATCCATCGATAAAGAAAGAGTAGTAGCAGCAGTACAGGGATTTAATTATTTGCATCCTCGTAATGTTATTCTTTAATGTTGTTCTCCGTAGTGCGCCGTGTTCTTTTCCATGTAAACTTATACTGTCTTAAATTCATACTGTAATAATAAATGTCGTGGTTTGTCGGCAGGAGCTCCCCTCACTAAATCCCATTGTATCTTAAATGTGAAACAAATTTAAAAATGCTATCTGGGCGCCATTCAAAGCTCGACGCGGAAAATTCAAAATGTCAGCGCATTCCCCTCGTATTTTCGATTACGTTGTAAACAACTTACGACATTCCACAGCAAGTGTTTAAAATTGGGTTCTTAAAGCTAGGCGGGCACCGCCCGGAGCGCCCTGGGGCGCAACAGAGAGGGCGCAGTAATTGGTCTCGAGAGCGGCGAAGGGCGCAGGGCGCACGTCCACCTCCGACTTGGACATATTGCAAACATATTCTCCGCTTGAAATTTATTGTAAATCGCGGCGGGCGGGGATTTGAATCTGAGGGGGCGCTAGCAGCGGTGACGGTGGCGGCGGCGGCGGCGGCGGCCCCTCACCGTGTCAATAAACCGAACGGACTTTGGAAATTCGCTACATTCGCTCAATGTTTGTGTTTGCTGCCTTCGCTTTTTCTGTACCAGCAAAAAAGACGCCCCCTCCCGCCCGTGCCGTCCCGCTGCTGACCCTTGGGCGCTTCCGATTTTATTTATCTAAGGTTTTCCATTCCTCCGTAATTGTGTGAGTTGCGAGCTCGATTGTTGCTAAAGCGAATATTTATTTGGGTTCCAGTTTGCTCTCCACCGGCCTCGGGCCGCGGCGCAGCGAGGGCGGCGAGATGGCGCATTGTGCTACAAATTGAATTTGTGGGTCTCAAATCAAATGTTGTCGTAAGAAATGAGTTGTTGCCGTCGAGTGACACTATCAAAAAATTGATCGTCTGTTGGCTCAAAACCACCCGACCACATATCATCGGCCCACGCCACGCCATACTGCACACTCTGCATTCATGGACGCCAATGCAAAGAAAGTATTCGCGACTCGAATAGCCGTAATAATCGAATCATAGCGACAGGAATGATCAATTTAATTTACGTGAAGATCGGGCGAGCCGTAACTCGTATATTCACTAATAACATTAAAGCGGCGCGGGCGCGGGCGCGGGCGCGGGCGCGGGCGGCAATCAGCATTAGGACGAATATATTTGGCGTAAATCTTTCACGCCGTCTTTATGTATATCGTAAAAAAACGGCGTGTCCAGCGAGTGGCCATAAATATGGCTCGTAAAACCACTGCCGCCGCTGCCCTGCACTACGCCGGTAGCCCTATGACAACACTATGAAAATGTAAGTATGGAACGAAATTGCCTTACAATTAGTCATGATAGTCACACGTAATCATTAAGAGCACTAACAAAAAGGTAGATAAAAATCGTGTGTGTACTTTTACCATATAATGCAGTACATTTGCATGAGTTATTTATTTCAGTTACATATCATTTCAGTGGTTGTAGGTACTTGTACTCTTTCCGGCCGTCATCTGCGCCGGCCCTCTTTGGAGTCGGGCAGGACGGTGCTGAGGTCGACCCCAGCGGCTTACTTTCCGTTTATGTTGCACATCCGCGCTTGTAAGGGGTCGCCCAGGTCCCTTCTTACTGACATGCTGTGTACGTGTATGTACTATGGCTACAAGAGTAAGGGCACCTTTTTAGTTAACGGTGTATTCTTACCGTTGTTTTCTTTTGTTTGACAGATGCTGAAAAACACTCTGCAATAACAATTGGAAATAGCTACTCAAACGAAGTTCTCGAAGCGAGACTTAAACATTTGAAAGGTAGGTACCTCGAGCGTTCTCTACTTTGTGAGGTCACACATATAGACATATATATGAAACACCCTACTGACACGCAGCAACGCGAAAAAGCCAATGAATAAATAGAGGAAACGCGGATTGCGGATATCGAAAACAAACAAACGCTTATAAATAAGTAGGGTTTTATACGAGAGTTTGATGCCGGTAATGAGATTGTGTCGCCGCAATCACAGTAAACAAGATAGATAGATGTGCGAGAGCGCTCGTCGCCGACGCCGCTGCCGACGCCGCCGCCCCGCGGTGGCGAATTGTGGTGGATTGTTGTTGTGCCCATCAGCAGTAACCGTAAAGCCCCGCCGATAGATCGGCCAAAGCCAACGATGTAACGATATTGTTATATCGTTTCCCATCCGCCACACACCAACACCGGGACGAATTGTTAATAGCGGGCTCCTGTTGGATGTGGTACATTTCTAAAACAACGTGAACAGGCTATCATTATAGGTGTTACATTTTTTGTCCATTTAGTCGTTTTTAGATGCATTCATTTTACTGAAACTGAACACAATTTCGTGAAGTAACAGGGTTAAGCGTTAGTGTTACCATTGAAATCACATATAAATATCTTCCTTTTTAATGACCATCAGTTACGAAATGGTTACAAAGTTCTATTTCGTGATGTGCCTTATCTCTTGATTGTAGCGTTAGGATTTTTCTACCTGCATGTATTCGCGATTGAATGCGGTTCTTTCTAAGACAAAGTGTGTTATTTCTCGCGGGACTTGACGGGGTGAAGCGGTGGGGCTCGCGGAAGGGGCGGTAATATTTTTACGAGCGGTTTTATTGCACCGCGATAAATTTGTCATCGCGTGGTTCGCCGCGGCGCGGCCGCAAGTCGCGGCCTCCGCCCGTCGCGCTCCCCACGCGTCACGCGTCTCATTTCGCAAACATTACAAATCATAACCTCTTTATTACACCCATTAATATATATTCTACATTCTTGAATTCAATTATATTTTATCTGTAAGACAAGTGTACCTAGGTGTTCCTTTTATACTGCCAAAGATGGCGCAAAAATATTCCTTTTTTTAACCGACTTCAAACAAATAGGAGCAGGTTACACGTTCGGCTGTGTGTATGTTGTCCGATTCCTCCGTTAATTGTGGACTGATTTTAAAACTTCTTTTTTTTGTTTGAAAGGGTATACTTTGAGGTAGTTCCATTATCAAGTCAAAATCTGATGAGGGGATCTCATGGAAATTGAGCATAATTCTCAATTTTATGGACATGTACAGTGTATTCAACGATTTTTCCGTCAATTGGAGACCGATTTTGAAAATTCTGTTTTTAGTTACAAAGGGTATATGCTCTTGAGGTAGTCCCACTATAACCAAGCCAAAATCTGATGAGAGGATCCCATGGAAGTCGAGCAAAATCCTCAAATTTTATAGACACGTACAGTGTTTGTTGAACTGTTACAAATAAAAAGTTTTCGGATAGCTGTGGTCGTCTTCATCTTTCCAATTCTCGTAATGGTACAACGGGATGAGCTGACCCCGCATTTGGTTTTATGCTTTGATGGTAGGTGATTACAATTCAATACAAATATTCTTTATTGCACACGGACCAATATATAATATACAAAACAGTTAAAATTACAGGTACAATAGGCGGCCTTACCGTTAACAGGCAACCTTCGGTTACAAGAAAAACTGTAAGACAAAATTAATTGAGGGCGTAACAGAATACGTATTTAATACACATATTGCACATACACATAATAATAAAATACTAAGTAAACAAATAAATAATACTTAAATGTAAAAAATATACATATAATTACATAAGTTGAAGTAGGATTATATAAAACAAAGTAATAACAATACATTAAATTTAAAACAGGTAAGAGTAGGAGAAAAGAATAATTAGAGTATAAGATAAACTTTGAGTAAACTTTTGAAAGACTCGACAGACGCAACAGACGCAACAGACGCAACAGACGCAACAGACGCAACAGGCGCAACAGGCACCGACTCCAAAATTAACCCATTAGAAATTGTAACTGTTTAAGTATCAGGAGTATCAGTATTTTTTTTGGTGGCGAAGTGAAACTTCAAACCGATAATAATATTTTATTCAAATAATAGGTTTGAATACGAATTGTCACTGTGATTGTAGAAATAAACCGTAAAATGTGTGGATAAATTGATTAATTAGTTATTCGTTTTGTACAAAACGAAATGAGACAAAAATCAATAAAAATAATGACATGGATGTTGCCGTTTGGATTAAAACTGTATTTTGTTATTTTTCTTAGTATAGTGACTGTTTGTGGTTTTTGAAGTTGGGTGTTTTTTTTAAAAGTTTGTTTATTAAATCTTCAGTGATTGAGATAAAATGAAAGAGCAGTAATTGTCTGTACAAACCTCGTGTGACTGTAATGATGGGCGTGCACGGGGCGTAGCAGCGTGGCAAAAGGTTCGTTTGCTCACGTGATTAGCGGCGCTGCGTTCGCGCAGGTTAGTGCCGCGTGTCCACATCACGATTGAGACGTTCCCACACTTGGTGACTATCATCAAACCATTCGATCTAATAATATGCTCCAAAAACATTTAATGATAACACGAACGCTTCCCGACACTCTTCAATTCAGTCTACCTTCGTGGACCTCGTCATTGTAGCTAACAACATTCCAGTAATTTGTTTGTGGAATTTATTGTATTTATTGTTATCTTTTTTGTTGTTCGTTAGACAAACATGTTAGGCATTTACCTCCATATACCTAAACCTATTAAAAATAATTCTGAAATATATCGATCAGTTCATCGATCAGTTCCGTGTGTGGACTAACTAGCAGTCATTTGGTGCGCGGTGACGATGACGCGGCGGTTCACACACATTCTTCCCGTGTTGCAGGCTTGCCGCCGGCGCCGCCGCTTCTGCCACCTGTACCCCTTGCCGATACCGCCCCGTGGACATCTCTTGCAGCCGTTGGTGCGAAGATGCAAGATATCGAAATTTGATGCTGTTACTGGGAAGACAATGCTGAAGCGGAACTTACTAGGTACCGAAGAGATGCATTATTAATAACATTTTATGAAATTAATTACCTATAAAAAATGAGTTACAATATAATTTAATATTAAAATTCAAAGACCTGTGTTTCTTTGAGTAATAACCTGCTTGTAATGTCCACACCAAGAACTGACATGGCTACAAACGGCAGTGTGGTTGCGGTGTGCGAGTTGGTTAGGCGTCGGGTATTATTACAACACAGTCCTTGTAAAATTGGCGTAGGTATTCCTACCGATGACACCGGTAACGGTAACTATTAGGTAACGAAAACTTTTTAGTAACTGGACACAGTATTATATAGATTAAAACAATTATTCGGCTTCATACCACAATTTGATTAATTTCTACAGAGTTAAGTACTGGAATAATAATGAAGGCAGAATTGTAAGCGCTGTTCAAATAATGGCACGGCTATCAGTTATTGCCGTTACTTATTCATCGCCACTCTACCGATAATTACTTTCTGCAAATAATACGATTGTAATTAGGGGCACTGAACTCGGCTTAGGGTGGTACTACACTCACGAATATTCGGAATAACGTGATCATGTGACAACACGCAATAAACCTGGATTCGTAGTTAGGAAAGTACATGTACCTACGACCACAGAAACAGTTGGCTTCGGCAATGATTCACACAAATGATAATAAACCAGCGGATGCAGATAAAAGTAAGATAAAATTGCCAGTGCCAGTAGAAATAAGCGGGACATGGACATTTTTGTGCAATAGACATTTCTTTTATAGTTTTAATCTACAATTTTCTTTCTTCCCTTGTGGAAGATGAGCAAACACCGAGTGCTTCTGTTTCTGCCTAAATACTTTAACATTAGAAGCATTTGGTGTATCTACTCGCAATTCGCTTGTCGATCGTGAATCACGTCCCACGCGTGTTTGTTTCGATCAGCCAGCTCATATGATAATAATTGACACAGTTTGTGCGACTTTCCAAGTTATTTGCTTACGATAACTTTCTCGATATCGCGTTATCTCGTACAAATACCGACCACCTCATCGTCGGCGACGCCATTGTGGAGACTCGCTGCGCAAGTGTCCACGACGCGTCATACACCCGCGCTCCGTTGCGTCTACGCATCAGCTGAACAAGTCTGCCGTGATATTACAGTTTTGATTTTTAATTATGCGTCACCTTATTAATTTTTAATCAATTCGATAAATTATTTTAATCAAAATTACAATTTATTAAAGCTATTAAGTATTTTTAACCAAAAAGTCTACTTGACCGTTTGTACAGTTCTATTTTTTTGCGGGAAATACATTGATTTTGTGACCGTTCCGTTGCACGTTGTTGTGCCCGAGCACGCGACATCACAGCGCACGCGCGCCCAGGGCGCGCCGGCGCCGGCGGCGGGTCTCGTTCTTGCTATCGAGTATCGCGATTGTCCCAGCTGCGGTCTCGTGGACTGATTTGCTGCGCTTGTCGTTTTGGACATAGTGAGTGTTGTCTCTGCGGGAGGATTGCTTGTAGTGCAGCTGGTGCTCCATGCGGTCTCGACTGCGGCATGGGCGGCGAACACGGCATCGATCTTAGTCAGGTATTTTCAGTTTTGTGATTTATTTATGCCTTAATTGAGCGGTTATTATGCAGAGTCAAAACGTATTTCATAAAAATTTAGCTTTTTGCTTTGTGGTGTGTTAACTACGATGTCGACGACTCGTTGCGCCCTCGGTGCTAACTGCAGGCAGATTTGAGGCAGAATAGCCTGTCGGTCAACATACCTACCCTACCAATCCTGTGCATTCAATATCAATTATTGCAACGGAATGTGAATTGAAATGTGTGTCCATATTTTTCGTTTATGACGGTTTTTAATTGAACTATTGAAGACTGATTTTCATAAATCAATGAGTTAATTAATCGAATATAATGTAGCTAAAATCCTTGAAACAGTAATTCGCCAATCAAGTGAGATTGTTCGTTATTGCTAGCGAGGTCGGAAAACGAACAGTTAGAAAACTCTTAGGCATAAAATAAATCAAATTAAACTAATGATTAATGCGCATGAGTACAGGTGCGTTGCGGTATTTCCATTGAAAACATTGCGATAATTATGAATGAACACGAACATTGTAATGAATTATAAATTAATCTATGAGCTGTTAATTGCATTACACAAATGCGGTTGCGCAGCATTCAGGGACTTCATTTGCCATTATTATTATTTATCATTACAAGACTCGCCTAGCGCATGCACCTCTACTTAGTTGAGTCTATTCAATTCTTTCTGGTTGTGGTTACCCGACTTGTGACTAAGAATATCCAAATTATACTTGGTCAAGTTGAAACACCATCAAATAATCTCACCAAATTAGGTACTTCCAGTACTTAGCCTCGTCATATTGACTCAGTTTTACGTCTGCAGTCCTTATACATCTTACAGCATCAAGAGCTACATAGTGTAAACACTGTGTTAAACTATTTCTTGCTGAGTATCGTCCGGGGCTATTGTAAATCTTCGAAGGTTTGGTTGTTCCTTCTTTTCTGACGGTCAAGTTTCGGGTAAAAATGTGGGTATTAATCAGTGCAGTGTTTGTACCTGACACGTGTGATCTTTTAAGTCGCAGGGTCGTGAGTCAGGGATTACTTGCGTGTGACACAATCGCACTGGCTCAAGTATTATTAATTCGGCAAATATGAATATTCATATTTATCATTTAAGTACAGTCAACAGCACATCAAGCTATTCACTTTTGTGCGAATAGCCTCCATCTCCTGTGCTACGGAACAAGATCCGTTAATGTGCAGCTTGATGTGCTGCCGTCTGTACATTATTGAAATCGGTCGCCGATGAACGTGGCTTATCGACGGATTTATCGCAAAGCAGAAATTTCATATCGCTTACTCGTTTATGTAACTTTCATTAATGCAGGAATTTTTAACACATCAGCCGTGGAAGTAGTTCAGGCCGAACCTGCCTGCCGCCTTGGCGGCCCACCGGTTTGCAGTGCGGGTGCTAGATGGGGTTCGGTTGCCGTTAGGACCAATTTGTGAAATCAACTTTTCCGTGAATTCTGTTGCTCTGGTACTAGCTAGCAGTACAGGGACCTTGGTACCTTGTTTGAGACTGGCCAATCGACGTGGTGTTTGGCACATTGGCACATTGGTCTTGCAAGGGTCAGACACCTACTAGGCTACGGTGCCTTGATCGATCTGCAGTATTTTAATTGAAGTGATAAATTGCCTTGAGCTATAATAACTAATTCATGCACAGTCGGTCGGGTGACGGGCGACAGGTGTGGTGGCGACCCACATTAGATGCCCAGTCGCTACTCCTCCCACTATCCGCCCGACACCCGCTGCGCCCGCGCACCCGCTATCGATCATGTTTGCGCTGATAATGTATGAATATTGATATTTTGTACTTTATTCTGATTCTTGTCGTTTCTCTGAATGCGGCCTACCCACTTGTTTGTTTGCGCGCGATATCGCGGAATCAGGTGACGCTTCGTCAATTCGAATTAGGCCAGCGCACACTCGCTCGGGCCTGCCCATCTGTGTAAATTGGGACAGTTTGCTTTTGCTATTCCGATTGACGGGGCTATCTTATCTTTACTCAGAATAGGATTAGAAAATTAATTCACAAATTTTGGGGAGTTCCCGTTTTTTTAATAAAAATAGTTTATCTTATCCGTTTTGTACATTTTGCCAAGTTATATTGACGGCAGGATTAAATAGCGCACGTCGTTAAAGTTAATTAAGTGTGAATTAGCATACTCGTATTCCGGTCACAAGTGTCCAGAACGAAAAGCTCGGTGCCTATCATGCTAATTCAATTAAAGTTACACGCGATACGTAATTGGAATAATTGAATTTAGCGCGTAATCGGGCCGTTTATCAACACGTGTCGGCGACTCGCACTCGCGCAGGCGCGACTCTGGAGATGGCATCGCGCATACATTACCGCGCAGGTGGAGCAGCGCGCGCCGGAAACAAATTAGCCGCGGCGCTAATCGTCAACGACAATTAGTTCAAATAATATGCTAATTGATGAAAGGGGAATCTACGTCACCTACACCGGCGCAGGCGCCTCTGTCGCGATTCCGCTATATCGCTTTCAAGGCACATGCTTGAAAAAAAACCTTTACATTTTAAATTACGCGTTAATTAATGAATGCCGTTTTGTGACGTCAATTACATTGCGTACCTCTCAATGCATATTTGTCTGTCACAGGCACTGGAGTTGTTAACTGTATTCTGAGTATTTCCGTAACATATTACCTATATTTATTCTTGGCTGTTGCGATGTTAGACAACTTGAAGTATTATTAAATTTAAAATGTGTTAAGAGTACGGCTTTACGTTACAACTAATTGTAGTTAATGTCTCAGTACACAAGTAGATACATCGATTTGTCGAAACCCAGGAGAAAGACGATCCACTTTGATATAAGAAAGCCTACATTGACCACATCAGGAGACGTCAGTCGCGTGGAGTTCTGCCAGTAGACGGTTGTCCTCAACTGGCACGTACATTGTGACGATACTTTGATGTTGCTGGTAGGTGGTGTTGAGCGGCGGTGGGCGTGTCGCGGAGGCGGCGCACGCGCAACTCGCACTGGCGCGCTATTTGCTGCGTGCAATTTCTATTTCAAACGCCATTGGTTATTGCCGACGTGATTGTCTAGCAACAAGGCAGGTATTGAGATTTCATAGCTCAGTAATGATTTATTGAATGTAAATGAGTGCGCCGGCGCGTCTTGCAATGAATGAATGCGATTGCATTACGGCCGGGCCGCGTTGAGTTGAGTTGAGTGGTCCTGCCGGCGACTAGCTCCGGAGCCGCCGCGCGCCTGCGCGCATCTGTGCTTGCAGCGTGCTCCTGCAACTTACTTCAACCAATTACCTGGCGGCAATCAATTTACCTAAATCTGATGGATATACATTTAAAGGTTCCGTTCACGTCCGCTTGCGCTCGGGCCGCCGCCGCTGCCGCTGCTCTGAATAGCTAGTACAGACGTATTATACTTATC